ATTTAACATAGAATTAAAATATCTGATTGTTACAAAAATAATTTTTTCATGTGCCTAGATACAAGTTGTAGAGCTTGAAAATTTTTTTTGAAACATGTCAAAAATTTTATACAAATAACATAATTATACATTTTTTAACATAAAACATTTTTTAAAGGACTGCGAAAAAATAATTTTTCATAAAAATAGTATAAGGATATTATAAAATACACTCAGTTTTAAAAAATGGTACAGTTAGCGTATTTTTACAACAAAATAAAAGATTGTAATATATTCCAGTCTAATGCATATTTTGCTGGGGCTGTTAAATTATTTGCTTCTGTATCTAAAAAAATTAACATTTCCACACTCCCCTTAGTTAGCAGGGACCCTATAGTATTACATTTGGGTGTATGGTAATTCTGCTTTTGACCCTACAGATAAATCCAATGTGTATATTCCTATACATATACCTATGTATGTACACAATATTTTAAGGAATTTATGTAAAATCCAAACAAAAAACCTACAGTGTTAGAGGTGCTTTTACAGGAAATAGTACACAAAAGTATTATTATAATTTTTACACCGGATAATATAATTGAGACTGATTGTGTAAAAACATAGTATTTCTATTTTTTCAAGTCACTTTTTACTAAAAATAATTCTTAAATGAAGCCTTCACGAGGTTTAAAAAAATCCATTATTAAAAATTTATAATTTGATATAAAATTTTTTTTTTTTTTTTATAAATTTTTTGGCAAAATTTTTTTATAAAAATGATAAAAATGTAATATTTTGAATATATTTTCCTTAAATCTTAAAAACAGTTATTAGACAAATTATTACCTACATTTTAACACTTAAGAAGTATATTTTTCATCTAATCAGATCAATATTTTTTAAATAAAAAATTTAAAAGATACTTTCAATTTACAATCATATATATTTTTAACTACATAGTATATCTATTGGTAGTAGAAGCTGAGACGTTTAATACAATAAAAACTAAATAATTCTAATTCGAGAAGTAAAAAGATATAAAATAAATTTGTAACAAATTTTCGAATAATTGTAATTAAAAAAATAAAATTTCTAAATTTTATCTCACTTTATTTCTTTTATTTCAAAATTATAAAAATATACACGCACATATTAGGGGAGGTAGAAGCAAAGCTAATAAGTCATATCTTATAATTTTTTTTATTTTATTTTAATAAATAAGCTTTTCTCATAGCTTTTAAAAAATGTTAGGGCATCCATATCCACTCACTAAATTTGAATCAGTTAAAAATAACTGATTTAGAAGCAAAAAATCAGTCACTAATTCAAATAGTAATATTTCTACTGACAATTAGTTAAAAATAACTGATGTTTCAGTAACTTTTTTTACTGATTCAATTAGCCAAGTTTAACGAATTTTTCAGTAATTTTTTACTGAAATTCAGTTATTTTTTCACTGAAAATCAATTATTTTTAACTGATTCAGAAGCAAAAAGTCAGTCACTGATTGTCAGTTAAAACCATGATTTTTAACTGATTCAAATTAAGAGAGCATATTTTTCTTTCATTTTCTATAGTTAGTTAAGACGCATTTTTCGATCTATATATTATAGCAATCATTCTGCTATAATTCTATCCAGAGTTATATAAGTTTTAAGAATTATTGAAATTTTTTTAAAAAAGTAACTTTTTGCAATTGTTTTTAGTGTCAATCTTTAAAATGCTCCATATTTTTTCTTTTGTTTAAAAGAATTTGTTTCTTAAAACACATCTTTTGACCTGTCATCAAACATTCTTATATACTTTTATTCAAAGCTATATAAAGTTTAAAATTGAGAATTTAAAAAAAATTAAATTTTTTCTTGCGAAAGTTATTAAAAACAAAAAATTAAAAATACTTTTTTCAACACAGATAAAAATTGAATTTCAGAATACAGTATTACTACCTAATTTAATAATAGTTTTTAATAATATAATTTAATAATAATTTTAATAATAATTACTACCTTAAAACAGTATTCTAACTAACGCGTTTAGAATGATTCTTGTATAGTTTGGGACTGATTACTAAACTGTTTTAGATTGAATATTATTTTTAATATTTATAATCTATTAGGTATACTATTTACTATTATTATTTATTTTACTTATTATTTTTTATTCGATCCTCCATGATCATAAAGTTTTTAAATCTTAAGTTTAAGAAGAAATATTAAAATAAAATTTTGGTAAAAATATTAAAAGAAATATTAATTTGAATATTGAATGTTGCTTTTATTGAATATTATTTATTATAAAATGTATAAAACATACCAATTCATAAATTACATAAGTCTTTACAATTCTAACGCTTTAAAAAATAAAAATAAACCTCACTACTTTTAGTAGGGGTTTTTTAATTGTATAATAAATTGAGCGGATGGGAAGAAGCACTCGCTGAGCGCGCGGTCGCAATAAGGGATAATATCAGTCAGGTACCAGTGAGCGGACTAAAGATTCTCACTGTTACCTGACTGGTGTTATCCATTGCGGCCACACACTCAACGAATAATTCTTCTTCTCATCTGCTCAATTTATGAAAAACTAATTAAAGTTTAAAATGACCCAGGTTATCAGTAAATATTTAGTGTCTTTTTTCAATCTTTACTGAATCAAGTTAAATTCCCTGTAGAAGTTTAACATAAGTGGCCTTTAATAAAAAACGATTCATTAGAAAAAAATTGTTTTCTATTCAAACCTTTCGGCTAAAAAATTTTTGTAACAATATTTCTTCATCTACAATTTAAAAAATAAAAATTTTTTAATAAAAAAATAAAAATTTTTTAATAAAAAAATATTGTTTTCTGAGTGAAAAATATTCTTTCTTACAATCGTTGGATCGTTAACGTTGTAAACTTTACCGATGTCTGTATTACAGGTTTGACACTTGGTCAATTTTGTCAAAAAAAAGTTTTAAAAAAGAAGTTAAAAAAGTATAGTTAGAAAACATTATCCAGATTCCGTGCTGACACTAGGTGCGACTTTTTGACTAACCTGGTTTTTAGGTATTCTGAAATGATTTTCTACAAAAATATACAAAAACTCCCAGAGTTACTGCGACGGAATTATTCCCGGAAACGACTCCGAGAACTTTGCCACGAGGGTATTATTATTATTAATTAAAATCTCGATAGAAATTATAGCACATGTTCAAAAACAAGTGCCATTTACAAAAATTCCAAATTATATATTTATACTCAAAGGAAATTTTAACAAAAAACTTTTTTCTTTTTCAAATTTGAAAATACAACTTTAGGTCAAGAAACTTTCTTTTGTTATTATTTTCAGTAAATGTTTATGTGACGTGCGTCCTTTCAAAAATTTTAGTGCCATTTTAAGTTTTAGTGAATTTACAAGATTTATTTAAATATTTTAATGTTTAAGGGGATCAATCAATGATTGGGTATAGTAATGTCTGTCGAGAAATGGCAAAAGTTGCTGTAATGGGACTTATCTCGGCCCAACAATGGCAAAATTGTTAAATCTGGGGTAAAAATTGTAATTGGATGAAGCTCGGTACAATATTGTTTCAATAAAGTCACATTAATGCATAAAATTTGGTATCTATGATGGCAAATTATAATTTACAGTACCCACACAGCACCGAAACTTTCCTAAAAATTTATTAAAGATTTACTTGCAAACTTCGAAGTATTTGCCTTGCAAAGTTTAGTGAAAATTTTGTAAAGATTTAAATGTCCCACTTCAATAAATTTTCAAGAAAGTTTTACGCTATACATTTTCACTTAGGAGAGAAGTCGAAAATTTAATTTAAATGTTCAGGAAAGTTTTAAGCTAAATTTTTAAGAAAATTTGACGATAAACATTTAAAACATTACACATTTAAAACATTTAAATCATTACACAATTTTCACTAAACTTTACTAGTAAATTTTTCGAACTTTGCAAGTAAATTTAATAAATTTTTAAGAAAGTTTCGGTGGGTAATGAGACATGATAACTTATTAGAACCGTTTTCTTTGTGTATGTGTTTTATTAAACTTAGAATAAATTTTAATTTCAAAATTTATTCAACTTACATTTAATGAATCCAAAAAATAAAGTCTCGAAATTATAATCATTCTTCAAATTTTATTAATGTCGGATTGTAATTGCGCGTGAAAATTTCAATTTAATTAATTAATTATATTCAATATTCAATTTAATTAATTAATAAGTAATTTTGTCACAATTGGTAAATAATGAAATAGTCATAATTAAGGAGAATAAGAAAAAGAAGATGAGTTTATTAAAATGTGATCAAAACTATCCGATTGTTGAAAAACTATCCTAGAATTGTAGGATTCACTGAGATTTTTATTTAATATTAGATTCTGTGTTTAGAATATATTTTAGAGAAAAACACACCCTAGGATGTGATTTTAATTTTTTAATGAAGATCAATAAGCTTTTGACTTTGACTATTGCTTAATAACTTTCGGATTGAAACAACTTTTACTTAATACTTTAAGTTACTTTGACTTAATACTTTTATAAATATATCTTTACTATAAGTTAACCCACTTGAAAATATATTACATTTAATTTTGTTCGCAAAAAATATATGTTTGTGAAAGTAACACCTATGAAAATTAAAAATATTTAAGTCTTTTTTAAAATATTACATTTCATCTACCAAAAAGGTGTATTATACCTGTTTTAAGTCGTACTAGGTAGATTCTAACAGGTGGTTTGATTCTCATTTTAGTTCTTTTATACATTTCCCTTACGTTTTTGATATTAATGAAAAATGAAATAAATGTAGAGTTGGAAGCATTTTAAGAATTGTTTTAAAATTTTATAAATAATATTGTCTATTAGTAATTTGTCGAAGAAGAAAAATAATGTTCAGTATTTGTTTTCATTTATGATTGCTGGTACAGTAAAGTTATTACTGTAAATGCAAACATTCTGATATGTTACGATGTGGTGTGGTCTGTGTAATTATTGCTACTCCACCGTGAGCATAAATAACTTACCTCGTTCGTAACTACTCCCGCGCGTTATTCTTTCGATCTTTTCTAACCGCTCGTTGAAATCTCTCGTCCACGCCGGTGAAACTAACTCACTAAACACATGACAACATGTTTACTTCTCAAAGATTTAGCAATATCACAAAAAATACCTGAACACTTTTTTTTGAAAACTTGAATATAAATTATTTTACTTGTATATTAATCTCAAAAATTGGATTAAAATTATTTTAAGATTTAAGATCTTCAAATTTGCTAAAAGAATTAGAAAAATAAGAATGGTTTTGAAATAAATAAGAAATGATTTTTATTTAATGAAAAAAAGTAGATTATCGGCACGAGGTTCTTGTTGTAAATCAGTCACTAGTCAGGTGTTTAGAACAGGGTGGGAGTCTCTAATCACAATCAACGAAAAGACGATAATCCTTCCGGATCGCTGACTCCGCGGTCGCGCACAAATTGTAAGTTTTGATAAATAATTTCCTTTTTATTTCCAACACAAGGAGTGAACACTAGATTTACACTAATAAGAGCAATTGCTCCTAATTCACACACTTGAATAGATCCTTTCAAATCACAATTCCCAAAGTGACGGACACTCTTGACACTATCATCCACTACTCATTGCTAATTGTTTACTATCAGAAGAAAAGCTTCATTACGCTTTATGTCTATTTGAGATGAACACATAAATCGAATGTTTTGCCATGATACGAGAGCTAATGTAAGAGCATCTGAAGCATCTTACCCGCTTCTCGTTATCATGAATCTTTTGAAGCGTATAGAGTAAAAGGCGTGCTGTCTCAGACAGTACTAACTTAGGCCCCCGGAACAGAGAGGGCCGGTCGCGCTTCACCTCCGTTTTACTGAATCCCCTCCGATCCTCGTACCCCACCTTCAACTGTATGTCTGTCTCTCACTACCTCCAACTACCTGTTAGTCAGTCCTTTTCTTCATTGCTCTGTCTCACTTTCTCTAACTGCAGCTCTTTTTATCTCTGTTTCCCTTCACCTCACTCCCAACGCAATACGCCACAAAGCGCGATTTGTGATATCAGTAGACAAAAACATCGAGGGCGGGGGTCCCACTTGCTTTGCTACCTCATTCTACCTTCACTGTTTGATGTACCGCATCCTCTTCTTCCCACCTTCGCTTTAAATCCCTACTACCATTCAACTCTCTCACTCTTTTTCTTTGACAATTTAACTTCTTTCCTAATCTCTTTCCTGTTTCATGGTCGTCTTATTAATACAGATACATTCTATTTTCTTTCACTACTTACCTTTTCAAACATGCAAATCTCTTATTTCATGTATGTCTAATGACTACTGCATATAAAGTCAACACTATAGTAATATATACCTTTCTTCAAATTTTTTAAAAATCTGTTTAGATTTTTATGAAAAAAGTACGATTACCTGTAGATTCTTCGATTTTAATAAAAAGTGTAAATGTTGTACGTAATATAAGAAAAGCAGGCTTCGCACTCATCTACTAAAACTTCAATAAAATTCAAAAAAATTTATATCAAAATTTTATTACTGCATTTACAGGGTTGCCACAGGTCAAGGAAATCAGGGAAATGTCAGGGAAAGTAAAATTGGTCAGGGAAAAATCAGGGATTTTTATTTAAGTAACTGGAAAAAATTGAATTTTCGAGAAGTTACAAATGATTGCAGAAATTCAATTATTTTCAAAAGTAATAAAATTTTTCGCAAAAATTCAATTGAGGCCTTGGATCCAATAACTCGCCCGACGCTCGGAGGAACGCGCGACTGCCAGTCAGTGAGCAGTGAGCGCCTCTGGGCCACTCACTGCTACCCGACTGGTATTAGCGCGTGCCTTCGAGCGTCGGGCGAGTTATTGGATCCAACGCCTCAATTATGTTCAAAAATTTAAAAAAATTCAACTATCTTTAAAATTAATAAAATTCTTCTCCAAAATTTAAATTATTTTCCAAAAAATTTAATAAAATTCTTTGCTCAAAATTTCAATTATTTTCAAAAAATCTTTCTCAATTCAATGATTTTCAATATCTACAGTATTAATAAAATTTTTCAAAAGAATTCAATTATTTAAAAAAAAAATTTTTTTGATAAAATTCTAAGCAAACTACGCAATAATTCAATTATTTTCATAAATAATAACATTTTTTTTACAAAAATTCAATTATTTTCATGAATATTATTTAAAATTTTAGATAGTAATTGAATATTAAAAGCATTATTAGCATGAATTTTTAAAAATAATTGATAATTGAATTCGTTCGAAGAATCTTAATAAAATTTTTAAAAATAATAACATTTTTCGAAGAATTTACATAAAATTGTAGGTATTAAAAATAATTGAAATCCTGTGAAGAATTTTATTAATTTATGAAAGTAATTGAATTCTTGCAATGAATTTTTTCAAATTTATTTTAAATAATTGAAATAATGTAAAGAATCTTATTATTTATGAAAATAATTGAATTCCTGCATCGTAATAATTTTATTACATTTTTTTTTAAATAATTGCATTCTTTTGAGAAGTTTTATTAAAAAAGTAGATTGTGAAAATATTTGAATTTCAACGAAAAATTTCATTATATTCGTGAAATGTACCTACCTAATTTAATTCTTGTAAAAAAATTTTTGAAGATAATTTTATTTTTCAAGAAATTTATTTAAAATTGTATTAAAAATAATTGAAACCATGTGAAGAATTTTGTTATTTATGAAAATAATTGAATTCTTGCTTAGAATTTTATTATAATTTTTGTAAATAATTTAATTTTTTTTTTGAAAAATTTTATGGAAATTAAGGTTTTATAATAATATTCTTATAAGTTGTTGAATTTTAAAAATGTTTGAATTTGAATGTTTTGAAAAATTTTAATTCCTATAGAAAAATAATAATTAAATACTTATTTAAAAATTTAGTTATTGATGTTTGCGAATAATATTACAATTTAAGAAATTCGTAAGTAAATGTAATAGAATGTTTTTTTGAGTATTTAATAATTTTTAGAGTGAATCAGAATATTCTTTATGGTCAGGGAAAATGTGAAAATTTTGTCTGGAAATCAGGGAAAAATAAAATTAAATATTTGTGGCAACCCTGATTTAACTTTATTAATCCAAATTAATTTTAGTTTCTAGTTTAGCACCTTTTTTGAAAACTTCAATTGCTGTAAAAGTATAATAATGTTTAAATACTTACTAGCAACAATTAGCACGGCTATAACTTCTTACTGCCTTTTTAAAATAAAATTAGCAATTTTAAAAATAGTAGAATTTGAAAACTTTCTAATGTAAATTTTTCTTGAAAACACTAAAAAAATTCAATTTTGGAGAAATTACAAATAATTGCAGAAATTCAACTATTTTCAAAAAAAAAAAAATAAAATAAAATGTTTCGTATAAAATTCAACTATGTACAAAATTTGAAAAAAAAATCTTGTAAAAATCCCATTATCTTTATAAATAACAAAATTCTTCTCCAAAGTTCAATTATTTTTCTAAATCTCAAAAAAATTCTTGTCCTCATTTCAAATGTTTTCAAACATAAAATGCATTTTTCCAATTTCAATGATTTTCAATATCTACTATTTTAATAAAATTTCCCAAAAAAATTCAATTATTTAAAAAATTTTTTAATAAAATTGTATGCAAATATTTAATTATTTTCATAAATAATAAAAATTTCACAGGAATTCAATTATTATTTTTATAAATAATAATTTTCTTTTAAGGAATTCAATTATTTTCATAAAAAATAATTTAAAATTCTAGAAAATAATAATTGAATTAAAATGATGAAAATAATTTTGATGAAGTTACAGTATCAATATTCTTATATAATAATATAAAATAATGATTTTACTACTTGGTCATCTTTAATTATTATATAAAACATAAAGAAATCGATCACTCCGAGTCTTCGACTCGGAGCAATCGATATCTTTATATTTTATAACAATACTTTTATAAGTTGTTTAATTTAAAAAAGGTTTGAATTTGAAATTTTTTAATGTCTTAATTCCTGTTGAAAATCCTGTTCCAAAAAGAAGATTAAAAAAAATTGGAATTTTGCAAATATATTTCTTATTTTTTTAAAACAAAATAATAATTTTGTTAAAAAAATTGTGATTCATAAATGAAAATAATACAAAAATTGCATTATTATTAACTTTCTTATCATTTTTCTTTTTAAATATTTTCAATTTTAAAATTAATATATTGAAAATCATCGAATTGTTGCAAAGAATTTTATCAAAAAATTTGATGTTAATAGAATTCCTTCAAAGAATTTTATTATTTAGGAAAATAACTGAATTCTCGCAAAGAATTTTATTAAAATTTTTAAAAATTCTAATTAAATTCTTTTGAAGAATTTCTTTGAATTTTTTTTTAAACTAATTGAGTTTCTTTAATAATTTTAATTGAAAATATTGAAAGCATTTGAATTTTATGAAGAAGAATTTTATTAAAAGTGAATTGAAAATAATTGAATTCTTGCGGAGAATTTTACTATTTATAAAAATTATTTCGAAGAATTTATTAAAATTTTTTACATATATAATTGAAATTTATGGAAATATTTAAAAATATATTTGAATTCATCCGAGGAATTTAATTAAAATTGTTTTGAAAATCATTGGATTTTTGCAAAGATTTTATTATTGAAAAAAATCATTGAATTGTTTAGATGGATTTTACTATTTATAAAAATAATTAAAATGTTTCGCAAAAATTTTTAAAAATATTAAGAAATAATTAAATTTTTATGAAGAATTTTATAGAAATATTTGAAAATAATGAAATTTTTTCGAGAAATTCAATTAAATTTGTTTTGAAAATAATGGAATTTCTTTAAAGAATTTTATTAAAATTATGTATATTCAAAATAATTGAATTCATCACAAGAATTTTATAATTTTTGGAAAATAATTGAATTCTTTAAATTTTTTTTGACGAATATATTTAAAAATTGCCATTGAAAGTAATTTAATTTTTATTTAGAATTTTTTAAAAATATTTTGAAAATAATTTAATTATTTTTAGAGAATTTTAAGTTCTTGTTGAAATTAAAATTTATGGAAATTTTTAAAAATACTTAAATTCTTTCATGTAATTTTATTTAAATTTGATTAAAAATAATTTAATTCTTGTAAAAAATTTTACTATTTATAAAAATAATTGAATTTTTTCGAAGGATTTATTAAAATTTTAGAAAATATGAACAGTATTAATTAATTTTGTACTTAATAAGTGAATTTTTTAAATTTTGATTATGAAATTCTTTTAAAAATTTATATTTGAAGATTAAAAATATTTGTAATTTCCATAACAATAATAAATTGAATATCATGTCCGCGCGTAAAATTTTCTAGTAATAATATAATATACAATCTATCTAAAGATAACAAAAAAAACAAAAGAATAAATAAAAGACAACTTCAGAGTGTGAGGGCAGGCGCGGATCCAGGGGGGGGCCACAGAGACATGCCCCCCCGAGAATTCAAACTTCCTGGAATTTTTTAAATACAAATTTCATTTATAATAGGTCATCAAGCTAACGTCTAGCAGATGGCCCCCCCCCCAAGAACCTTGTCTGGATCCGCCCCTGTGTGAGGGACAGAAAAAGTGAATGAAAGAATGAAAGAACATTCAAATTAATATAGTTGATTTTAAAAAATTATTAACTTAAAAATATATTTTAAAGTTTTGAATAATTTTATTTAAAAAATATAAGAAAATAATTAAAGTTCGGAAGAATTAGAGTTGTAATTTATAAAAATAATTAAATTTCAATAGCTGATACAAGGGCAAGGATAAGGAAATAAGTAATGGGTTATTCCAGTGAAAATCGACTATAGAGCTGGTTGCTAGACGATTTCAAAACACGCTGTACTTAATATGGTGAATTCTCTGTGAAATTTTTATTCAAAATTTTTTTTTTTTATTAAAACAATTTTTCCCGAATTCTATATAAAAAATAAGTAAATTTAAAAATTTT